GAAAAGGAGAGAGCCAGTATGGTGTAGTGGTTAAGAGTGCTGTACCAGGATCTTGAGAGAACAAGCACAAATCTCCACTGTGCCGTGGAAGTTGGCTGGGTGTCCTTGGGCCAGTTACGTACTCTCAGCCTAACCAAACTCACAGGGTGGGTGTTGGGAGGATAAAATGGAGGAGGGGAGAACAAAGTAAGCCGCTTTGGGTTTGCCCTGGGGGAAAATGCAGGGTATCAATGAAGCAGAGGTCCATCAGTGGCTATTAGCCACAAGGAACTCTCAGGCTGGGGCAAGTGATGGTCTGTATTCTTGGTGCTTGCAGGGGGGACAACACTGGGAGGTCTTCTAGTGTCCTGGCCCCACCGGTGGTCCTCCTGAGGGCACCTGGTATTTCTGGCCACTGTGTGACAGAGTGTTGGACTGGATGGGCCATTGGCCTGATCCAACATTGGCTTCTCTTATGTTCTTAAGTAAAGTAAAGGTAAAGGTTCCCTTGTTCGAAAGCCAGTCAAATCCGACTCTAGGGTTGTGGTGCTCATCTCCGTTTCAAAGCCGAAGAGCCAGCGCTGTCCGAAGACATTTCCGTGGTCTTGTGGCCGGCATAACTAAACACCAAGGCGCACGGAACGCTGTTACCTTCCCATTGAAGTGGTACCTATTTATCTACTTGCAATTTCTTGCTTTCGAACTGCTAGGTTGGCAGGAGCCGGAACTACAGGCGGGAGCTCACTCCGTCATGCGGCATACTCAGGTCTCGAACTGCTGAACTACCGAGCTTCCACAGCCTGCAGTTCAGCGTCTTAACCACTTGAGCCACCGCAGCTCCTTATGTTCTTATGTTCAAATAAATAATTAAAAAAGGAAACAAGGGTGCCAACAGTTTCGTCTCAACTGTGCAGAAAAGGGCTTTCATATCGAACCACATAAAATCCAGTAATATCCCTGAAATGTAGCCACAAGTTGAGGTATCCCATGCAATGCAGTAAATATCTGAGTATCTCTGTGTTTCTCCACAGTTCTCTGAGTAACCACCAGTCAGCATCTACATACCAAGAATAGGAATGCAATGCTTATTCTTACCTTTAAAGCCCTGATTAGATATCTGAAGGACCTTGCTTGCTTTCATACAAATCTGCTTGTGTCTCTTAGGCCCCGGTTACGAGAGGGACAGATCAGGGGCGCATCAAGTGGGCGCGATCACACCACAACATCTGGGAAGCAGCGTGCACCCGTCCGTGATCCGTCCCTTCCGGGCAAAACTGTGCATCAAAAAAACCTCTAGGAAACACTACTACCTACCTGAAAATCCATTGCAGGGACGGGCGTCTGTTCGCCGGCGTGCCCATCTCTCCAGCAGCATGCGAGGTCCTGCCAAACTGTGCATGCACACATATGCACAGCGGACTGGCCTCGCTCTCCGGTCTGTGGCTTCCTCCCGGCATCTGATCGTGCCAGGGAGGACCTGTGTGGCGGCCGCGCCTATTTTCCCCAGTGTGACCGGGGCCTCAAATAACCTGATGAGTTCTGGTCTGGATCCTCCAGTCTTTAGAAGTGAGGCTGGTGCTACCGGAAGCAGCCTTTTCTGTGGTGGCATCAAGGCATTGGAATGCCCTCTCCAAGTATGCTTGTCATGAACTGTTTTCTTTTATGCACTAGTTAAAAACATTTCCCTTCGCCCATGCCTTTGACACAATCTGACTGTCTTTTTAGCTTACCCTGCAGGCTATCAAATTTTGTTGCCCCCTCCCCTGTTAGTTATAGTTGATTGCTACAGAGTTTAATTTGTTGTTCTAAACCTTGGTGATGTCCAGTAGGTTGGAAGAGAAGGTGTACATGTTTTAATGAAATAATAATAGTTGAATATACCTTGTGGGATGTATCACTTGTTCATGTACCAGGAATGGGAGGTCTGTGGCTACTTTGCCTATTTAAGTACACGGAATTGGCAGGGTATTTTCCACAAACCCTGCATGGATCAAATTCCATGCCATGCATAGCCTAGGATCACACGTTAATCTTGTTGACCCTCTTACATGTCATGGCCCAACAGCTCTCCCAACTGAAGCAAAGAACTGAACATCTTTGACCTGATTGTTTAAAAAAATGTACCTCAAATATAGATCCCACCTTTCTTTTAAACAATTCAGTGTAGCCAGGGGTCATTTCCTGCGGGAGCACACAGGAACAGAGCTCCGGCAGTAAGCAGCCCAGGGGGTGGGCACATGCAACAAGCCCCACCCCCTGCTCCCAGCAGCCCTCAGTCGGGCCACTAGGAGCAAGAAGCAGCCAGGTAAGTTGCAGAGCCCCTCCCCCCCCGGCCTGCCTTCAGGTACAAGCTCTCCCTCTTCTGAGAGGGCAGATCTGCGCATTCCCCGCCCCCCATAGCTAGCTATCCAAAATAGTCTATTGGAGCCTGAGCAGTGGGTGTTGCCTTCTGACACACTTCCGGTGATGTCAGGGGGTGTGGCATTTGCAAATAAGTTGTGCTAATTATGCTAATGAGCCCCTGCTCCTCTTTTTCTATGAAATGACCCCTGAGTGTGGCATAGATAAGTAGGGCTACCCCATTTTTCCTTCACTTCCCTGAGAGGTTGACTAAGCTGAGAGAAGGTGATTGACTCAAGGTTATCCTTTAGGGCCCAAGTGGAGATTCGAACACAGGTCTTCCCAGTCTAATTCTAACACTCTAACCACTGCACCACCATCCACACGGGGAAAACAATTTATTCCAACTGGTAGCGCTTATGAGGGAACTCCAGTGACCTCCTGGATTCCTCTCACCACCTTAGAAAAAGCTGCTTGTGTTCCTACACTGTAGGGGGGGAGGCTGGCAACAGCATCAGTGAAGCAGTGCAATCTACCATAAATGGCTCAATTCGTAAAGCACTCTTGAATCTGACCAACTGTTGAGAATTCAGCCCAATGACCAGAGCCTCCTTATTTCAGAAACAATATTTCACTGAGTTCCATTGGATTTAATGTTATGTTTAGTTGATATCTATTAATCGATCGACTGTAATACCACTTTTTCGTATTTAATAAAGTGGGTTTAAAAAAAATAGATGAAGCAGTGTAACCTTATGGTGCCTGCTTCTTCTGCACCATAAGAGAGGCCAACTACCAATATGGCGAAAACAAACAAAGCTGGGTGCTGCCAATCAGAACTGCAAGCCTACCAAACTGAAAGATTTTAAAAAATCTTTCATGTTTGTGTACTTCCCCCTCTGTAGTGCTGGAGATCATATATCTTGCATTGTTATTGTTATTTTTAAGACATACACACACACACTTGAAGGCCATGTGTGAAAGAGATATGCGGTATGATTCATAGGGCTGCCAATTTTCAGGTGGAAACTAGAGTTCTCCCCAAATTACAACTGATTTCCAGGGAACAGAGATCAGTTCCCCTAGATCTAGGGTTGCCAAGTGGCACTTACCTCCTCGGCGGGGGACTCCCGTGTGGCTCCTGGTGTGTGTGCGCGTGCGCAAAGTGCGCACCGCATGCACATCACTAGGAAGTGACGTTATGACACCGGGCACGCTGGGGGCGAGGCCACGACCATACAAGGGAAAACCATAGAGTTTTTCCTTGTATAGCCGTGGCCCCGCCCCCAGCGTGCCTGGCGTCATAGCGTCACTTCCTGGTGACGCGCACACCGGGGCGGGGTTCCCCCCGGCAATATTTTGTTTATTTAACAGTGTCTGATAACTAACACCTCTTGATCTGAATTATTACATCAAAATGTCTGTGCTGTTGCAATCTTGAATATGCTGTTCAGGTGTGTATCAGTAAGCTGCAAATCTACGATGATGCAGCGGCTGCAGAACTGGAAGTAGAAGCAGAAGACAGCCAGTTCCACTGTGGCGTGGGGGGGGATCCGGCCCCCGGGCCACATGTTTGACACCCCTGCCCTAGAGGAAACAGCCGCTTGGGAGGGTGGACTCAGTGGCCTTATATCCCACTGAGGTCCCTGTCCTCCTCAGGCTCCTCTCCCAACTCTGCAGGAATTTTTCAGCCCAGAGAGGGCAACCAACTTAGCTGTACCTGGAGAACCTGGTTGATTTCTCATCCACTGGTATTACCATAGAACTGTATATTTTTCAGAGTAGCCGAAGGTAATCTTTGCACCTCACTTTTGTGGTTTTGCCTTAATGCCACCCAAGACCCGCAAGTGGCAATGACAAGGCCCTTTGTGAAGATGGTTTAGATCTAGAACTGTAAAATGAGTCTTTCCTTACAAAACTTTTAGCTGATGCGCAATAAAAATCCAGCCACTGGACAGAGAGCTCCAAGGTATCTAAAACAACATACTCCAAGAGGAAAAATGGATTCATATTTAAAGTACAACATTGTATTTTGTTATTTTGCTATTTAGAATAGTGTACATGTACTGCAGTAAAGGAGAGAGGGCAGTAGGGGAACTTTTATCTTCTCTGTCTGTACAGCATCTAAACACTTTACTCATCCTTTTATTTGCTGCTCCATTAAACTCTAAACTAAAGTCTAGGGCTAAAAAACTAGAGTGGCAAAGTTCACCAAGTTGCAAACTTGGGCAAAACTTTCCCTGCGACTTAAAAGGGACAAAAACAAAGCAAAGGGAGAAGGATTGGAAAGGGGAGGGATTGCTCCTAGGCAGCAGTAAACGGATGATGGTAATAACAATAAACAACAATAATTAATAATAATGTAATGTTGCCAGGGTAAGAGTCTCCAGTCCGGGTTTTGCAGATGCCCGTCTCTAGCTCGAGTTCCCTGCCTGCTTGGAATAGAGTCCATTCCATGCCTTTTCCCTGCTCTCCCCCCCCCCTTAACTCCTCTTTTCCCGGCTTCAGTCATGGAGAGGGGCAGATGGCGGTGGAGCTCCAGCCCGGGTTTTGCACTCTGCCTGCCCCCTGGTAGAAATAGGAAAATTCAATAATCAAAGGGAAGAGAGAGAGGGAGAGAGGAGGGGGGGGAAAATCCCGGATCAGGGCAACTTTGATGGCGCATGCGTGCTCTAAGCCTCCATCCCAAACACACATTTCCCTGTACTTGGAAAGTCACCCAAAGCAGCCCCAAGTGCAGGTAAGACCTTCGGCTCTTCCCTTCCTGTCCCTCCTGCGGCCAGCCCCAGGCTCTTCCTCCCCAGGGGGCACCCGCAACTCCTCGCTCTTGCACTTTTCCACGCCTTGTCCCGGCTAGTACCCAAGCTTGTGGCTGCTACCCCACCAACTCTCGCTGTCTTCTCTCCCCCCCCCCGCTCTAGTGCGCGCTGGGGTTTTGGCAGAGGGTGAGAGGAGCGCCTCGAGCCAGGGACGAGAGGGGGCATTGCGCAGAGGGAGGGTGTTGCAGCTGGTTGCAGCCCCAGGAAGGTGCTCCACGGGGGAAGGAGGGGTCATGAGAAGAAGGGGGCCCGACAGGCACTAGCATTGCATTTCATGGGGTGGTTGCACTGCACAGGTCATTGAGCTCTGGAAAGGGGGGGGCTATTGCAGTGGGCAAGGAGCAGGGCGGACGGGCTGCCGCTTTGCACGTCCGTGGGATAGCCTTACATCTTTCGATTGGGGGGGGCTGCTACAGCGATCACTTTCCAACCCCTTTAAATTACTGGGAACTTTGTGGGGAGGGAAGAGAAGGATGCAGGTGGTTTTCCAATGTCCTTGTTTGGGAGATAAAGGGGGGGGGAGAGAGAGGAAGAACAAGATTCTCGCAATTCCCAGGACTTTCTAAAATAGACCGGTCGGAGGAAGGTGGGAAGTGCGTGCCTACAGTGACCCCCCCCTCTCCGTCCCTCTCCAGAGCCAGAGATGTTCCTCCGAAATGGGGCGGCGAGGGGGGAGGGTCGGTAAGGTTCGCGCCTGACAATTCTCTCGGACTTTTGCATCAGTGCCTCAGCCTGTACGGGAAAAAGGAAACGGGAAGCGAGGATGGAATCGCTCCCTCCCCACCCGTCTCGGATCACAGGTGCCCGAGGTTCTGAGCAGCTTTGATCAGGGGTCAAGGCGGAATCGCTCCCTCCCCGCCCATCTCGGATCACAGGTGCCCGAGCTTCTGAGCGGCTTTGATCAGGGGTCAAGGGGGGCAGGCCGGGACCCCTCCACTTTCCTCAGGAGAAAGCGGGCCAGGGGAGAGAGGGAGACGCTCAGGAGCGTTTGCGTCGGGCCCGGGTGGCGTGTGGCGCTTGTCCTCCCCCGTGCAACTGACCCGCGCTCGGTAGCGCCCTGCGAAGTTTTGCCGAAGTGCTTGGAGGAGGCGAGGCGGGGTGTGCGCTGCCTGTCGAGCGACGCGCTCGGGGTGCGGGCCGGGGGAGGGCGAAACGATGCTCGGCGTGTGCCTCGCTGCGCGCTTTTTGCATCGGAGGTGAGGGGAGCCTCGCTCGAGCGGGCTGCCCCAGCTGCGGACGCCAGAGCTCGCCGACTCTCCCAGAGTGCGCTTCTGGGGCGACCGGGGTACGAGTGTCTCCCCCACCCCCTTGGAAGCAGCAGTTTTTTTAAACCCGGAGGTATTTGCAGAATGAGCAGCTGATTTGCGCTCCGGAGCCAGGGAGGGTGGTTCTCCCCCCTCCCCTCCCCTTCGCTTTCTTTTTCTTATTTTTATCTCATGCGCTTTGGAGAGGTTGGGTCTGCTGGGGGCGCACAAGGGGTAAGGGACCTTTGGCTGTGTGGAGGCTGCCTGTGGTGAGGCAGGCGGGGGGCTGTTTCGCTTATTGTTTGTGTTGGGGGGTGTGGGTGGGGCGGGGGCTGGGCTCAGGGCAGGGGTGGAGTTGGGAAGGGTGGGGGGGCATCCAAGGATGAGTGGGGTTTTGGTGAACGCTTCTCTCCATGTTTGGACGCTCCCGGGACAAGGGAACAGGTGTTGAGCTGTCAGTCAAAGTTTGGGCCTGCCAAGAAAAAAAGGGTGTGTGTGTAAAAATACTGTATGTTGGTTTTAAAAAGGCATTCAGCAGGGCTCTTGGCCCAGAGTTTTTGGAGAAGGCCTGAAAAGATTTCATGTCATTTCTCTGTTCTACATCTGCCTCTCCAGATGGATGACCAAATCCTAACCTCAGTAACTGTGAAAGAGACAGCTTCTCTTTCCTGTTCAAGTAGTGAAATGTTTTGCTGTCTTTATGTATGATTTTTTTAAAATGAAAGAGGGACACGTAACTTTTTCTTAAATCTTTAGAGTATGCAAAAACTTTAGTTCCCA